AATAAGAGAAAATAAACTGGAAGAGATGAAAAGTATGTTGCAACTGGTTGTCACACCCACAGACGGGTCACAGCATGGACAGACACCGTTCCACTGGTTGGCAAGTAGCCTGTCAAACATTGAGACCAACAGCTTCCTTCTGGAAGTCTGATGAGGATTCATGATGAGCACCCAGGGCCTTGCCACAGCACGGTGAAGAGACGCCCAAGGGCTTGGGCTGTCTTAAGCCACAGGAGGCACAATACCCCCAAATAAACCAGCCTTTCCAGCAAATACGTCCCTGCCATCACTCATTCCATATGGAGCCCAGCCCACGTCTAACAGTGAGCGCTTTGCTGTTGGTAGTTTCTGAATGCAACATGTGAACGGTAGTGACAAGGCAATCCCCCTTCCAGGTTAATTATGCAGATGTCACACTAAAAAAAAAATATTGGTTAAGTATATAGTGTCCCCGGAGTTCATCACATCCTTAAAAGGCTTGTTTAATATTCATGAAGATCATATCTACATGTAAACAACAAAGGAGATTTCAAGTTGTGCTTTGAACTGTCGCCATCTTCCTTTTTTGCCAGGCTGCCTAGTTGACTGTGATCAGAGCGCTTCTGAGCACTGCCAGATGACCTTCTTTGGTGCTGCCCAGGACCACAGGCCTCCCTCAGAGGCAGCTACCCAGCTACAATGGACTCCAAAGCAGCTGCTTTTTGGTTTTTAATTTCTACTCGTCTGTAGCTGATTATCACTCATCCAATGTAAACTAACTTCTTAGCAACAAAAGTGCTCTTCCACAGTAATTCATATTTGTGAGTCTACAATGCCACCCTATCAGTAACAACAGTTTCAAACAATAAAGAATAACCTGACAAGAGTGCCTGCTGTCTATTTCAGTCTAGAGTCTTGCTTCCAAAGAGGCCTCATTTTGCTACTGTGCTGCAGACAGAATCCTGAGAGGACTAAGTGTCGCTGTACTGTGCTGAGTGGAGTATGAACAAGCCACCTCAGCACAGTGCAGCCTGTAACAGGCACTCAGAGAACCTAGTTCTCTCCCTGACTTCTCTTTTCTCTGTTTATTTTAGATCTTCAGGCTCTGAGAGGCCTTCATTTCATATCACTAACCAAATCTCAACATTGTTGTAAACCCTTAAGGCTTAAGACCCATGCAAGAAAGGAACCGATTCTAGGCCAAGGCTGGCAGTGCATCCATGAATGTTCACTTGGGGCATGAACTACTGAAGTACAGAGAACCTCAGTTAACAACCTGTTTGTACCTCCAAAGTTCATGTGTAAAGTGACATATACATTTTCCCATAGACATAATGAGGTTATACTTAGGTCTCAGGCTATTCCATAAAAGTGCATTTAACACACAATCTGAGCTGAAATACTAGTGGTAGAGCCTGGAATCAGAGACCTGGGAGCCCACAGTTAGCATGGAGCCTTACCCATAGCATCAGACACTAGCTGGATGAAGTCTGGCTCCTGCAGAATGGAATGGACCTGGTGGCACAGGGGAAATGTCTATGCAGCTGAGCTTGCAGCCCTTCCTGTATGCCCACTCCTTACCTCCCATTCTCTCTTCTCTGGGTGACCAGGGCCTTCATGTCTTACCCTGAAAATTCTATGCTTCAGCACCTTGCCAATCCTTTACATTCCACAGACAGGCACTGCTGCTTCCTGCTGAACTCAAGTCCATCTTGGCTATGCAGCATTATGGAAGACATCTGAGTTACTGCCCAGTGAAATGTCAATGGCTGCACTGTGACCTGTCCATAGATTTCTGAGCCTTTAGAAGATGCCTGACTGCCCAAATGAACATTAACTTTAGGAAGAATGAACTGAAGGAAATAAGTTTGGACAGTGGGCAGATTGGTGCCCCCTGGGGTACTGGGCCTAAGATGTTTCTACTTTTCAAAGCAACTTCATTCTCCACCAATTTAAAAATGAGCACAGGACCAATGCCAAGTCAATCAGACAAGGGCACAGAGTGGAGAGAGGGAAATGGGTGGCAGTGGGCCCTAATGGGAACTATTGGAAACTGATTACTACTGGGTAAATGAATTTGCACTAAAGGATATCTGGGTACAAATTTGTAATTGGATAGGACTTAACATGTACAGCAGAATACATGAGGTCTGGTGGGGGTGGGGTGAGGGAGGCATGGATGGGGAAGGGGGGTCTGAATTTGATTAAGAATTATTGTATGGCCAGGCGTGGTGCACGCCTTTGATTCCCAGCACTTGGAGAGACAGAGACAGGCGGATCTCTGTGAGTTCAAGGCCAGCCTGGTCTACATAGTAAGTTCCAGGCCAGCTGAGGCTACAGGGAGACCCTGTTTCAAAATGACTTAAAAAATTTGTTGCATGAAATGTACAAAAGCTCAATAAAAAACTTTAAAAAACCCAAAAAACAGCGAATGGCTAGTTCATTTATGCTTCCATGGCACCTGCTGGTACATGCTTGCTCTTACAAATAGGATTCAGAGGGTGACACTGGGTCAGAATTCTGGAATTACTCATTCTGGCATTGCCAGAAGGGTGTATGCGTTACCATTAAAAGTCAGAGGAAAGAAATGCCACATGGCTTCCACCAACCTTTTTGTTTGTGGGAGAGAAGGCACTGGACTTATGAATGAACATATGTTGAGCTGGGGAAGAGCTTGGCAGACATAAACAAACAAATTAATTAATTAAATTAAAATGTCTTAAATGAGAGCAAGAAAGTGGGCCATTTAAAAAAGTAGGTATTTTCAGAAATAAAGCAATTAAACAAAATAGCCCATCTATACAGGATTCTGCATGCACATCTGCTCACTAGCTACCTTGAGGCATTAATTGCTTAACTTTAGAAACAACTAAACAACTTGGCCCAGGAAAGCAAAGAATTAAATGCTGAATTCCAACACACACTTGAAGCTGATGTCTTTTATCGGCTTCAAAAGGGAATAGCCTCATTAAAAAATGGCACAGCCCCATGTTCTGAGAGCAGTCGAGGGCTGCAGACTCAGAGTGGCGCAGGAGTGTGGGGCTGGAGAAGAAGAGACAGCTCTGCTTTAGTCAGTTAGCCTGGCTGGACACCCTCCTCCAGGAGCGCATCTCTCTGGTACAAGTATCTGTTGACCTTCAGTAAACACCCACTGTCCCTACCTGTAGTCTCAGCTTTCCTTACTCCTACCCTTGAGAGTGACACATCAAACAAACAAAGCACCCTGCCCTAGGCAGGCCCTTCCAGCCAAGATCACCAAGGCTCTGACAAGTGCTTATTAATTCTGGCCACACCCAAGAGACAGCAGAGCTGGCCCCTTCAGCCTTTTGGTTTTTGTGAAGTAGTAAAGGGGCAAAAACTGAGCTAAGGAACTGAGGGACTGACCTAAGGTCACATATAAGTTAAAAAAGAGAAATCAGGACTTCATTTCTTTGTTGCCTGCTCCACAACTTCAGTCAGTGGTGAAGAGGAAGCACATCTTAGGAGGATCAGAAGCACCCAGAGGGCTTGGCCACCTCCTCTTGCAGGTCATTCTTAGAGGCCACAGAGAGTCCTATTATGGTATTTAATTTCAAAATAACTGAATCAACAACTACAGGAAGTAGCAGGTTTACCCATTCCCCAGCAGCCCCTCTACAGAGAATCTAATACTTAACCCAGCACCCAGCTCTGGACAGAGGTGCCTATCAACATATGGATGTACTCTGGTGGTTGGCAGGAAAGCCATCACAGTCCCCTGAGCTTCCTCTCACACTGTCTTGGGAAGATGCCCTTTTGCCTAGACAGAACACAGTACAGAAGGATAGCAATTCCAGTACAAACTGCAGGGGTCTCCCAAAAACCTCATCATTTGGTTTTTAAAAGCAATTTTAAGGGCTGGAGAGATCGCTCAGCAGTTAAGAGCACTGACTTCTCTTGCAGAGGACCCAGGTTCGATTCCCAGCACCCACATAGCAGCTACAAACCATCCTTAACTCCAGTTCCAGGGGAATTCGAAGCCCTCTTCTGACCTCTGCAGCATTGCACGACACAGGTGCACTCACATACATGCAGGCAATACACTCATACACTAAAAATAATTATAAAAAAACAAAGCAATTTTAAGCAATATAAATCGAATGAAGCCCTGATAGCTCTAAACTTTGAATAAAGCATCTTATATCATAAGTTATGATAATGTTTCCAGAGCTCTGTGTTTTCTTGGGGGGTGAGGGGGTTGTTGTTGTTTTGTTTTTGAGACAGGGTCTCCTTATAGCCCCAGTTGGCCTGGAACTTGCTATGTAAACCAGGCTGGCGACTGAGATCAGCCTGCCTCTACCTCCCCAGTGTTGAGATCAAAGGTATGTAGGTATGTATGCACCACCACTCCTGGCTGAGCTCTGATTTTTAAAGTAATACAAACTCTATATATCAGAGCTCTAATAATTTAATAAAGACAAAGAATATTGTGAGAAGGGTAAAAATAACAATATGCTTGATTTTCCTTAAAGGGGACTAAAAAGCTGCCACTGAATTATGACCATCTGAATTGAAGGCAACCCTCAACTATAAAAGCCCAAGACAGAAGAATCTTACAATAAATTATATGCAGTAATGATGGGAAATAGGTTTTGCTGATAACTTGTACTCTGAAGGCTTTCTCCAGGAACTCCACCAGGTTGACAGGCACTGTTGCACTAATCCTTACATCACCTTTGAATGGAAGGAGTGGACAGGTATGAACTCCACTCTGCAAATGAGGAAGTAAAGCCAAGGGAATGAAGGTGGGTGGGACTGGGGGTCAGACAGGGGCAGTGGCAGATGACAGCTCACCCCTGAGGTTTCACAAACTGGACTCTGTGTGAAGGATGTCAACAAAAATGCTCCGTTTTGGAGGAGGGTGGGAATAGAAAGGGCAGTTTCATAACATCTAGGAGTGAAAACACATAAAACTTCAAAGAGATCAGCAGTGAAATCATGAAGCTCCTCCCACATCTCAAACAGCTGGAAGGGGAGGCACCCTACATCTTATTATGACATACCTTTGCTTCATCATTAATGTCCCAGGTGAAGGAAATGGCATTGTAAGCAATCTCTTCAATGTTACTGATGGTATTGAAGCTTTCTTTATAGTCGGCTACATGAGGTGATGAATGAGAAAAAGAAATTCATGTTAGCGTCGTCAATGTGAAATCACAGCAGCTTAAAGAATCACTCAGTTTCCATACTATCCTCTGGGAAATTTAAATAAATTTTGTTGGATTGAAAGAAATCAAATGAAAGAAAAAGAAAGAAAGAAAGAAAGAAAGAAAGAAAGAAAGAAAGAAAGAAAGAAAGAAAGAAAGAAAGAGAGATAGACTGGGGCTACAGGGAGACCCTGTCTCAAAAAGACCAAAAAAATAAAGAAAAAGAAAAAGAATCCTAGAACTTTTGTAATAAAGGTAAGCTTAACATAGTTAATTCAATATTATTAGGTCAAAATTAGGAATTTTAGGTCTAAAAAGTTTAAGTAATGATCCTAAGGTCACAAAATTTATCTGTGGAACCAATATTAGAACTCAGCTCTTCTAAGCTGAGTGTGGTGGCACATGCCTATAATCCAAGCCATTAGGAAGCTGAAGCAAGAAGATCACCATGAATTCAAGGGCAGCCTGAGCTACACAGTAAGTTTAAAGACCAACCTGGGCTACATTGAAAGAGCTTGTCTCAAAAAAAAAAAAAAAAAAATGACAACTCCGTTCTTCTGATTCTTACTAAAAAAAAGCATGATCATTATGGAAGGTAAAGAAAAAGTAACCCTAAGATGAATGGTCACCTGTGACCTGTAATGTAGAGGGTGATGTTAGGTGGAAATGCCAACACCAGAAGAAAACAGGCTTTAAAGAGCTGTTTCAGGAAACAGGATGTGCCAGGGCTGCCACTGTCCCCCAGGAGCTGCATCACGCAGTTATTTACAGACAAACGAGATCAGCAACATAGTTCAGCACACAGCTGTACAAGACCATTGTGCAACTACATAGCAGTGATATTTCCTTTTGCTTATTTGTTTTTTTTTTTTTTCTCCTCCTTATCATCATCTTCAAATAATAATCAGCATCTCCTAAAGAAGACATTACCCCTCAAAAAACATACAGACTGGGTTGGGGTGTAGCCCAGTATAGAGAGCTTGCCTGGCAGGTGTGCAGCCCTGGGTTCTTACACTGCAAAGAAGAGGAGCAAAAGAAGTACAGCTGGAAAGTGGGACACTCCTCCATTAGCTGGCTAAAGCTCCTGGCTCCAGGGCCTGGGCACAGGCCCCCATGAAGGAAGTGAGGACAGAGCACTGATTCCAGGAGGCTCAGAACAGTGTCTGGAACACATCAGTGGCTGGCATCAAGATTCAAATGCTTTCGGCAGGAAGCTGATCACTGCCAAAAATAATTGGATTTAGAAGGCTGGGTGCCTGCACCTCTGAGAATAAAGGCAGGCTCTGGAGCCACTCACCTATGTCAATGCACCTTTGTTTGGCCGTGTGCTGCCGGGAGTGCCAGTACTTCCAATGCCTTAGCTGATCTTCTCTGCTTTTGTCTTCAGCAAAAACCACCATGATCACACTCTATGAATGAGAATGTAGCACAACATAAAGACACTGAGGGGTGAGCCAGCATCAGGGAACCTCACTTAGATCTTACAGTCAAGGCACTTTTGGGCCTTCACACCAAAGGGTGAGCCAGCATCAGGGAACCTCACTAGATCTTACAGAGTTACTTCAGTGTTAGGCCTTGGGTCATCCAACCAGCTTTCCTAGAGAACAGAATCAGAAGCAGAACTTACTCGAACTTTGCTGATGGGGTGGTGGATCCCCTCGTTGCTGCTCACCTCCTTCAGGGTGACAGGATAGAACTGGCCTTTGTTCAGGTACGTCATAGTGCTGTCCCCTGGCTTCTGCCGAAGTGACTTTGAAGCTTCTAGGGTATATTCAAAGTTGTTCCTGGAGGACAAAGAAATCATAAGTGTCTAGTGCAGTCTATTGGAAGCTTCCCAAACGCTGTAGTGCAGTCCTGACGTGCTTCAGTGGGGGTGTATAGAACAGCAGACCACTAGCAAACATTCAAATGACTACCTCAGCTTCTAAGTAGCTCTTGCCACCACTGCATGATGAATCCTAAACACAAGTGCGGAGTGATCAGAAATTTTCAGATATTGGGTCATGAAACACCAACTAGAAGTTCTATGACAGGATGTTAACAACTAGATATTTGGAGGCTTGGGCTATGAAGGATATCAGGAAGTGGGAAGGAGGTGGAAGGAGCCTCACAGGACTTGCTGCCACTGGTATTTATGGAGCAAAGGTTGCAAACAGGGGCTGGGAGTCTGGAGTTTGGTCAGATTTGGCCTGCCTAGCACTTTCTTGCTGCTTCTTTGTGCAATTTGTCTCTAGACAGGTACTCTGTAATTCCCTACATTTCCCATTATTTTATTTATTTTTATTGTCTGCATCTATGTAAGTGCACCAGTGTTGTGCAATGCCTGAGGAGGTCAGAAGAGGGAGTCATATTCCCCTGGAACTGGAGTTGCAGACAGTTGTAAACTGTGGATTGAACCTCTGCAAGAGCAGCCAGTGCTCTTAACTGCTGAGCCATCTCTCCAGCCCCATTTCCTATTATTTTACACAACCATACACACCTGCCTCTTAAGACCCTTCCTAGGCCAGGGGTCAGCATATTGCACTTGTGCTTGTAAATAAAGTCTTATTAGACTATCTAGACCTTTGTTTATGCCTTATCTGTGGCCCCTTTTTCGTTAAGACAGCAAAGCTGGGTAGTCACAAAACATAAAGAGGCTGTATGGCCCCAAAGCCTAAACTTGCTATTATCTAACATGTCACAGGTAAAGCTTGCCATCTCCATCTCAAACCTAAAAGGCATCTGAATTTGTGATTCCTGTATCTTGGTGCAGGTCTGTAAAGGAAGTCTAAACTCCCATAAAATCTTAAGACTTCAGAAAACCATTCGTTTTGCATTAAAACTTTTTACATTTATTTACTTATTGTATGTTCATGCACATGTGCATGACATGGTATGTGTGTGGGGAGGCAGAGGACAACTTGTACAAGTTGGTTCTCTACCTCTACCATGTGTTCCAGGGATTGAAATCGGGTCACCAGGCTTAGTGGCAAGTGCCTTTACCCACTGGAGCCATCTCACTAGCCCCATTTTTTGGTTCTTTGTTTTTAATTGCAAAACATAAGACAGGTTAAACATATAAAATAAAAAAGCCTTTGCCCACTTAATTTACTCTTAAACTCTCACCTAATTGTCCCTTCTTGGGAACAGAAGGGGCCCCAGCCATCTGCCTTAATCCCCATCTCTCCTTTCAGATTCCACTCTGCTATATCACAGAAGGAAGCCAGGGAAGAACAAGCGCCAACACCAGGAGCCCAGGAAACTGGAAGCCATTCAGAGTCCTGAATCAAATCACTGCAGCAAATGCCCCTACCCAAGATGAGGCCACAGCAGGCAGTCAGAGGAAGGAGAAGGCACACCAAAGCCACCTCAGATTTGTCAGTATCAAGGAACCAAAAAGGGAAGAGACCATAAATGCTGAAAATTCAAAAGTCAAATGAAAAGACAACTATTACCCAGAAACACTGTCAAACACATAGTCCTCTGAATTCATGCCCGGCATCCGAAGACTGAGGTCCGAGGGGAAGAAAACCTGAAATATCAATTTAGTGAGCAACAACCATTCAACTGTCATCATCGTTACTAACGCCCAAGATCTGGTATGGCACACAGTGTGTGGCGTACAGCAACCCACAATCCTTTTGAGGTTCATTTCAAAATAAGAACTCTAAATCTATGAAATAAATTTATAAAAAAAATAAATATCCAGTTGTATGTCCCACTCAAGAGAATGAAGTCTAGCCATGTATGTACTTTACTAAGTCCCTTTCCTCATCTTTCCCACACATCACATGTTCAGTGTCTAGACTCTGCAGCCAAAATACCATGAGAGCCAGGAGTAAAATTTGCACCAAGGCCGGGTGAGTCTGGTGGTCTTGCCTTGGCAGTGACCACTGTCTATGCCTAAAGGAAATACAGCATCTTCTCCACAGAGGCAGTACGAATGGTCCCCAACACTCTAACCCTAACTCCTTCCTGAGCGAGGGCTGTATGAACACAGACCCTCATAATTCTCTGGACCTCATTTGTAAATTTTGTAGAATGTACTTGGGACCTTTTTTGCTCCCAGACTGTGCCATTAACCATGCAGCACCCAGAAAACACATGACAGAACGGTCATGCTAAAGCTAGCTGCAGGAGCTTGCTTGGGTCTAAAATGAAGGTTATAGCGAGATGATGAGAATGCATTTGTGGACAACAGGAGATTATGCACCGGCTCCTTTCTCTCCAGCAAATCTCTTCACAGAAATCACAATTGTTAACTCAGCTGTTGGTAAGATTAGCCATGTGCCCTTGATAATAATTTCTGGATTTGTAGGTTTAGCTTACAAATTATACCCATGGGCTTTCTCTCCTAAAAAAAAAAAAATCTTTTATTCCTGATCCACTCATTTTGGGCTGAGTTTCAAGCTTATATAACAAGGAAAAGGTGGAACCCAATACTTATACAAACACACCGCTGTCTTAGGAAGAGGTTTTTGTTTCTTATACCTCCTGAACGCCCTCCTTGAAGGTCTCTGAGAAGGTGGAGTCTGGCGTCCTCCGCTGAGCATTGGGGGGCTGAGCCCCAGAGCCGAACTGGTCAGTGCTGAGGTTTCGGTCGAAAACCACCACACGCTCGGTGGGCTCAGGATGGTATACTGCTGGAGGGATTCCCACAGTAAAGCCGTGTGGCTGGATTTCTGTCTTGATGGAGTGGGTAGGCATGGTTGCTATGGAAACAGTGACTGTTGTATCAGGAGCTGTCAGGTGGCCTCTTTTATCAATGCCCAGCTGGTTGCTGTGGGGAAGGACAATGTTGAAGGGCACATTTTTCAGGACTTGCACCCTGTTCTCTACAGCAGAAATGAGGGGCTGCTCGGTCACATTCGGTATGCTGTTTCTTGAAGAAAGGAAAAAAGAAAATTGTATTTTCAACCTCAGTGTTGATATGGTTATTTGATAATGGGGGGCGGTTTGCAAAGAATCAAACCCAGGGCTTTATGCATGCTTGAGACACCCTGCACTCCTGATGACTTGAGTTCCTCAGAGTACTGTCATACTTGGCAGAAGCCAACTAGATAGAAAATGGAACAGCAACCCATTACTAAAGAACACTTCACTGTTATCAGTCAAGTCAAACCCAAAAGAAAAAAAACAAATGTCTATAAAATGCTGGGGACTCAGGGCTCTATTCTAATAAGCTTCATGTCTAGTGAACCCAGTACAAATCCTCAAATTGTACTGTAAGCCTGAAGCTGTAGGTGCAGTCTGATCAGTTGGGTTAACAGTGCAGAATCAGGCTCCCTGGATTCAAATTCTCTGTCAGCTTGAGCAAGCTACTCCATCTCTCAGGGCTGGATCCTCACCCACGAAATGAGAAAACAGTGGGGGTCCGTCCTCACATGGTGCTGAGGAATGCAGGAGTGAGTTCTGGAACACAGGTGCTTAAACAGTGTGTGCCACCACACCTTGCCTTCACTTCCCAGCACTGTGCTGCTTTTCCTTTCCAAAGAAAACCTAATATCATATTCTACTAGTAGATATGTACATAAATTACTTGTGGTTTAATATTCTGGGTAATCAATACCAGTAGATAATATAAATGCATAGTTTGAGAAATATTTATTACCTCACACGTGTAGACGTGAGTATGTGTGTGTGTGCGCGCGCGCGCGCGCGTGTGTGTAATGGGCAGCTGGCTGAGGTCAGAGGATGACTTTGTGGAATGGGTTCTTTCCTTTCATCTTTACATGAGTTTGGGAGCTAGAACTCAGGCTGCCAGGCTTGCTTGGCAAGCACCTTTACCCACTTAGCCAGCTCCTCAGCCCCAAGTGTAAAATTTTTTGTTCGTTTGCTGTCTTTTTTGGGGTACTGAGGATGGAATCCAGGGTCTTGTACATACTAGGCAAGTGCTCTACCATTGGACTACTCTCCTAACCCATGAATGTGTTTTTAAAAAGTCCCCTGAAATCTTACAAACCGAAAACGTCAAGGAAGAAAGCAATTGGCAATTTTGCAGATTTCAAGATTAGCAAAAACTGTTCAAACCTCGAAGCATAAATTAACTTCTGGGAATTTACCCTAATGAAAAAGAAAACTTTGAGAGGCTGACCTAGGAGGGTCAAAAGGCCAACCTGGAGAACTTTTTAAGAACTTGCTTCAAAATAAAGTCTTTCACAGGCTAGCATGGTGGGGCATACCTTTAATTCCAGCGCTCAGGAGGCAGGGGCAGGCAGATCTCAGTGAGCTTGAGGCCAGCTTGGTCTACATGGTGAGAGTCTGTCCCAAAAAAAACCGAAAAAAAAAAAAAAAACAATGAGGCTGGGGAGATGGCTCAGCAGTTTAGGATACTGGCTGCTCTTGCAGAGGATCCAGGTTCAGTTCCCAGAAACCCACATGGTAGCTAACAACCATTTTTATAACTCCAGTTCCAGGGAATCCAACGCCTTCTTCTGGCCTGCTTGGACATTGCACAACATGAGTGCACTTACATGCCTATAGGCAAAACATTCATATACATAAGAAACAAATAAATAAAAATTTAAATCAAAATAAAGTTTTTCACTAAAACTTTGTCATAGTAAAAAACTAGATACAGCTGCAAAAATTAGTATATTTAGAGTTTGTTTCAAAACAATCCATCAAAAAAATATATAAAATAAAACATGAGTCAATGTGAATGTTAAGGAAGAGCTCCAACATGAGAAGCTGCCCTATAGCTGCCAGCACTGTCAGTGAGTACATATGGGCTTTTAGTATTTCTCCTTTTATTATGTTGGAAAGGCCCATAGTAAAAAGTAAAAAATGAAATCCACACATAAGTCACTCTTGAAAGAATAAAAGATTAAATAGCAACATGGAAAACAGTTATGAAACAAACTAGGTGGAAGGAAGCATACTACCAAATCCTATCTGTGATTGTAACCACAGCCGTAATAAATAATTGTCAGAAGAGTGGAATACAAGTGATTACTCGTTTCTTCAATCAATCAATCAATCTCTCTCCCCCTCTCTCTCTAAGACAGGGTCTCACTACATAGCCCAGGTTGGCCTTGAACACATGACTTTCCTGCCTCAGGCTCCCAAGTGCTGGGATTACAAGTGTGTGCCACCACGCCTAGTTGTTTGTTCTTTATTAATAATAAGACATGGGGCAATTTGAAAGGTGTCTTTAGGACTGGTGAGATGGCTCAGTTGGTAAAAGTGCTTGCCACCAAGCCCAACAACCTGTGTTTGATCCCAAGGACTTACATAGTGGAAATTGAGAACTAACCCTCTCACAAGTTATCCTCCTCCACGTGTGTACATACACATATACACATGTGTACACACACATATATATACACACACAAATATATAAATAAATGTAAAAAAATGTAAAAGTTGTGTTTAAAAAATTTTTTTCATGACCATAAAGTTGAGTCTTAATTTTCTGTAAGTTTTAACCTATTTTAAAAACAACATCAAGAGGAATTTGGACTTTAATTTATTGAGTTTTATTCATACAAATACTCAAAAGTTGGCACTGGAGAGATGGCTTAGCGGTTGAGATCACTGACTGCTCTTGCAGAGGACCCAAGTTCGACTCCCAGCACCCACATGGCAGCTATGAACCATCCTTAACTCCAGTTCCAGAGGAATCTGAAGCCCGCTTCTCACCTATGTGGCATTGCACGACATGAGTGCACTCACATGCATGCAGGCAATACACTCATACACATCAAAAAAATAATAATTAAAAAATATTAAATATTTTTTAAAAACCAAATACTCAAAAGTCACCAGTGCTTAACTCTCCCTTTTCTGTTTTTTGTTTGTTTTTTCTTTTGTGGATCTGGGAATGAAACCCAGAATCATGCCCATGCTAGGTAAGACAAACCCTTGCTTTGTCTGACCAGGAACTCAAGCGGCCCGGGCTAGCTAGCACTCTTGATCTGTTGCTTCTGCCTCACACATGCTGTGATTACAGGGATATACCACCACATTCAACTATTTTTTTTAAAGACTCTTACCCACTGTGACAACCCCCCCTTTTTAGAAGTTCTCAAAGCAAATAAGCAAATACTTAACTTTTCTTAAAAACATCCCTTTGGAGAGCAGAAAGCTGATGTTTTTGTTTCCTAGGAAAAGGAACTCTACCTGAATAAACAGACAGCTTCTCAGAGCAAGAGAGGCAAATCAGCAGTGGAATCTAACAGAGATGAGGAGTCAATCCTCTGTCTCTTCCACCAGAGCCTTCCCCATTTTACTTGACAGAGCACACACCTTCAAGCGTGCATTTTCTGCTGGGCATTAAGCATCACTTACCTTTTGCTGTGCTCTGGCTCTGGGTGTTCACCCTCTGGCTTTGCTGCTGATGACCGTCGCTCTCTGGGAACCTAATACATTAACATGTATGAGAAGAATTCAGTTCTTACCCAGTGGAAAGGCACCTGAAGTTATTTTACTTTTCGGCAAACTCAATCCTTCCTTTAGCTCCTCATTGTCTACTGATCATCAGGCTCTGGGGCACAGTGGAGAAGGCACAACTAGCCATCAAGGAAGCTTACAGTCTATTCACCACCATAAGGGGTAAAGAGCAGCTGCTGAATAAACTTGGGGCATTACAAACTTACTTCATCATTGGAATAAGGTTTGTGGATTTTTTTTTTTTTTTTTTTTTTTGTCTTTTTGAGACAGGGTCTCCTTGTAGCTCCAGCTGTCCTGGAACTCACTATGTAGACCAGGCTGGCCATGAACTCACAGAGATCCCCCTGCCTCTGCCTCCCAAGTGCTGGGATTAAAGGCGTGTGCCACCATACCCGGCAAGGTTTGTAGTTTTTTTTAAAAAAAAATTGAGACAAAGTCTTACTATGTAGCTCTGGCTGACCTAGAACTTGCTGTGTAGACTGAGCTGGTCTTGAACTCATAGAGATCTGCTTGCCTCTGCCTCCCAAATGCTGGGATTAAAGTCATCTATCCCCATGTCCAGCTAAGGGTTTTGTTTCTTTAAAACAAAAAACACTGGCCTGGTTGTGCCCATTTGTCTATATTACCTCACAGAGAAGAAGGTACTAAAGATTCACTGAGATCCTCAACTTCCAAACCACTCCATGCCACTGCCCCCTCAGAAGGAAAGTTGAAGTAACATGGGACTGTTAGACATGGAACTGTTCATTTTTTAAAGATCCAAGGGCAATTCTGCACGAGAAATGCTTTAGACATTGGCCTATTATCTAAAAAACAAATTTAATTTAGTTTGGTCTCCTTTTCTGACTCCTCTTTTCTTTGCCAAGGAAGTAAAAAGCAGACAAACAATACTGGGTATGCTGTGACATCACCCCAACTGAGGCTTGGTCCTAAGATGTGCTCTAACATTGCTGGGGTATGTGAAGATGATTTTCAGTGGGAGAATCCAATCCTGACATGTTTCAGCATTAAAGACAACACAAAGCGTTTCATGTATTAGCAATCTGCTCCTAGTGCTTTGCTAACTATTAAGCAGTAACAGCTGACCTAGCCATCCCTGAGCATCTGCCAAGGGTAAGCAGACATGGGCCAGTCCTCAGCAGCCAGCATGCTGCCCCACAAAGAGGATAGCCTCTGGCAGTAAGGGGACTGGGACTGAAATCCTAGCTGAATACATTCTAGTTGCTGGGCCTGAGAGTGAAAAATGACATACAGTTTGGCCACAGACCTGTGTCCAGTGTGACACAGGTCATCAGTGAAGGACAGCTGAATTATTTGGACTCCTATAAGGATAATGAGGCAGAGTGGTGTCCTTTCCAGAGAATAGGAATGATGTAAAAGCCGGTGCACAGTACACACGATATTTAAGGCTACCCTAAAGGTCTAGAAACAGGCAACAAAACATATTCTGAGGACCAGATCCCAGGATGAAAAATGTGCATTTTCCCACATGAATCCTAAGGCTGTATAACAGTTGCAGGAAAGGTGATCACCCTGACTACCCGGAATAAAGGGAGAGCACAGGTCACTTAGCTCTGCCCACTCTCCATGGCACCAGCAACCACCTTTGGTAAAAAGCTCACACTCAGAAAGACACAGCTACCACCTTCTTTTATGGCAGCGTCTCCCTCAGCTAGAGCCAGAGCAGCTGGCTACTTCACACATTTTAAAAACTACCCTTTGATTCTATGATTGTAGATGCTTAGCTTTGAACCACGGTAAGCCCAAGTACTCATTAAACTATTTATAGGCACTACAGAAGCAACTAGCCTTACATTCTACCAGCAAATGACTATTTTATAGGCTGCTGAATCAGGTGCGTCTGAGACCAGGCAGCCTACCTTGTAGTAGTCATAGAGCAGGCCCAGTGCTGCTGCGCTGTCTTCATCTCCATTGATGCTCATCATTGCTTTGGTTGCTGCAGTGAGAGGGTTTTCCAGGAACGATTTCCAGGCCTCATCCTCGCTGGTATAGGAGCGTCGCTGTGGATAAAGGGCTTCATTCTGAAGAACAAGCACTGGTCGTTTGCTTCAGAGGAAAGAGAAGGGGGAAAAAAAAAAAAAATCAATCCATATTTCCTACGGAAATTTTTATGAAAAATTGTAAGCTAATTTTTAAAGAACTGAACCAACAGTTCTTTGACATTCCTATAAGATAAGACACATGGCCTTGTGTCAAGAAATAATTGTAGGTGCAGAAGGAGCTCAGTGGTGGAGCAATTGCCTACCATGGGCAAGGCCCTGAGTTCAATTTAAATTAGTACCAAAGTCTTGAAGAGCTGCCTGAGTAAAACCCAATAGAGTAAATGAAATGGTGTTCAAACTTCTCTTGAAGCTATTTTCAAAACAGTTTAGGTAAAAACTTCCAGAAAATTGAGGTCTAACTTATGAAACACCTTTTCTAAAGACATGATTTAAGTTGCTTGTGATTTATAACTTCATCAATGACTCTAGTAAGTCAAACAAGGACAAGAACAGAAGGCAAAGCAGTCCTGGGGACTGTCCTCCCTCAGTAAGAGACAATCCAGAGGATGCTGCTTGGCAAAGTCTCCAGATACCAAGAAGACATCAGGCTATTCAAATGTCTTACAGCAACACACACAGGACAGTGAGGCGAAGGGCAAGTTTCCTCTTAGCACACAGGCCTGCGCCCTCTTCTCAAGCCCACGCACGGCTCATGTGAGACGTCCTCTCTTAGCACACAGGCCTGCACCCTCTTCCCAAGCCCACACACGGCTCACGCTGCTACACGTTACTTCCCTCTTTTCCCCGCTGATGCCCTGCTTTAAAACAACTCCTTCCGAGAAACAGGGGCAGGGAGGAGGGCCAGAAAGCAAAAAGGACACTTCACTTAATCCTTCAGGGTATATGAGAAAGTTAGAAGACTCTACTGTTACCAGCAGAATGAGCCTGGAATGTAGCCAACGGGGACTATAAATCAATAAAGAGGCATAATTTTCTGGCATGGGAGTGAACTGTTTATCTTAGAGATAAAGACTTAACCTACAATAAATGAAACCATTGAATAAAAATAGACTTAAAAAAAATAATGGAGAAATCTTTAAAAATTTATTTTTACTAGAGGCTGGCAAGGTGGCTCAGGGTTGGTACCAAGCCCATGGACCTGAGTTTGATCCTGGGACTCATGGTAGAAGAAGAGAACTGATTCCTGTACGTTGCCCTCTGACCTCCCTATCTGAGGCCAGGCATGTATGTATATGCACACACATATATACACAAATAAATACATGTAAAAAAAACAACAACAAAACTTTACCAGGTTGGGGAGATGGCTCAGTGGGTAAAACACTTATTGCCAAGCTTGATGACCTCAGTTCAATATCCAACACCCACATGGTAGAAGGAAAGAACTTACTCCCTGCAAGTTGTCCTCTGATCGTGTGTGTGTGTGTGTGTGTGTGCACACGCACACAAACAGGCAAACACATAACACAAAATAAAATAGAATGTAAAAAATAATCTTTCTAGGTTTTAGAGTCTGATGGTATAGCTTAGGGGTACAGCAAGGGACTATTCTGCTCAGGGTCTGGGCTTCCAGAGCTTAAACCCCAGTACTCTCTTCTTCCCAAATAAATAAGATCTTTATTCATTTTTCACACTGGGCAAGAACTCTTTCTTTTCTTTTCTTTTTTTTTTTGAGACAGGGTCTCCCTGTAGCCCCAGCTGTCCTGGAACTCACTAGGTAGACCCCCCCTGCCTCTGCCTCCCCAGTGCTGGGACTAATAACAGTGTCATTTGGTGGGAAAAAAAGTCCAGAAAAATCAATGGTGAGTTTAGTAAGATTTATAAATTTAAACTATTTAAGCAAACATTATTGATTCCCCAAATTGGAAATATGAACAGTTGCAACAACTATTCAGTTGGTATCATTTAATAAGTCGACAGGGAGAAAAAATGAAACATTGACTTTAGTGAGATGAAGCAGTAAAGGAATAAGAATCGAAATGTCTGAAGCTCCTCTGAATTATCACTGTTCTAACAAGCAAATTTAAGGATCAGTTCTCATTGCAACACACAGACGAAATATTTAAATGGCCTAGAGGTGACCTACCTTTTCTAAAAGTGAGTGTAGAAAGACTGCTTATCTTTTCAAGTAATCAACAAAGGTTAGGGTTTGGCAGTCACCCAGGTCCTTTAAAAACAGATACAGATTTAGAAAAAGGAAGACATCTTTGAAAATGGGAAGAAAAATCCAGAGACTTCATTTACCCTCACCTAGAATGAAGAGCTATTTCAGAGTCCACGTTTTTACTCATGCTTAGGAAGACAATCCTAAGGGCTTACGTCTGAAGGTGGTTTATGATTTTGACACAAAACAAACACAAAGGGTAGTTCGCGATAGAAAGTCAAGAAGACTGTGTATACAAATCTCAGGTTTTTAACTAAAGACAGAAATATACAAAGTGGCATTTTGTAAGCCCAAGGCAGTGGTACCCTGATGAGATTTTCCAGTGTGCTGCTGAGCTGTTATTAATAACCTAATAGCTACTTCCAGAAGACTGACAGCACTTGGCTGGCTGGACTACTGTAATGCTAGTTTTCCAGCTTCCCTTCTCCCACCCTCAACCTACATTTGTACCAGCATCAGAAAATAAATATTTTTCAAGTGGCTTTATGTCTGTGATCACCCTGAAGGCATTTTATATTTCCAAAGTATGCCTCAGGCCAAGATGCTAGCTTTGGAACTTTTGCCTTATCTGAACAAGAAATAAATTCAAGAGCAGTTGAAGCTTACTTCTTCATGACCAACAAGCTGTTGTTTGGGCTCTGAAGGTCTAGAAGAACCTTAGAATTTCAGGTTTCTAAAATTAGATACTCAAGCAGTACTTTCTACAAGACAAGTTTAATCTCTTGCTGACTCCAGACATAGCTAGCCTTGTCACCCAGAAAACAAGCACCAGTAAAACCATCCTTAACAAGTAATTATAAAGCTATCTCCCTGGGATTTGCTTATCTGAAACGGACAGGGTTGGTCTTTTGGAACAACTTTATATTTACAGAAAAGTTGCAAATAAAATACAGCACATCTCACCGTGACTCTGCCAATGTCTTTCTTACCACATGGTATAGTACCACTGAACAGTTGACTAAATATTTTGCTAAATCCCAAACTCCAAAAGGCAATACTGATTTGACAATAATTTCTAGTTTATCCCCTTGGTTGCAGTTTCTTCCTCTTGATATTCCCGAACCGTAACAACAGAGTCTTCTGTAATTACCGTCGGTGATGCAAGTGCCCAAGAACACCCACAGCAGTTTTTTCATACACCAGCCAGGGCAAAGAAAATGCCAGGACAGCGGACACTTCAACCTTCCCCTAGATTTCCCTCTGGACGCTCTGGCAGCTCCGCAGGTGACAGCAGATTGCCACAAGTCTACCTGTCTCCCGGCGGAGCGCGTTCCAAAAAGATCCATTAAGAGATCCGTGAGCCCGCGTGGCCCGGGCGCCCGGGGGCCGCCCGCTCTCTCCCCGTACCCTCCCCGCGGGACCGCGTGCCCTCGGGGCCGCGTCTCCTCGGGTCTCCTGGACCGCGCCCGCTGGGCTAGCGGTGGGCGCACGGGGCGAACGTGGCCCACGGGGCGCACGGCCCATTTGGCGCTGCCCGCCTCTGCCTGGCCCGGCTCGTCCGGCCCCGCAGCCCGCGCCTAGCTCGCGGCCGCAAGTGCGGCGGCCCCTAGGGCCCGCGGCGACCGGACTCGGCGCCCGCGCCACACTCACTTGTCGTACTCCTGTGTCATCGCGCTCGCTCGCCGCTGCCGGGCCGCAGAACTGGACTTTCGGGTTGGGACAGTACACCCGATCCGGGGGGGAGGAGGCGGCCGGCGGGCGGCGGGCGGCGGGCGGCGGATCCGGAGCGGCGGCCCCGACGGGTTGGGTTCGCTTTTCTCGCTCTGAGCCGGCTCCGCGCGGGCTGCGCGCAGAGGGCGCCGGGCTCGGCCGCTCATTGGCTGGCGGTGTGCCCGCTGGGGCGGGGCCTCGGGAGCCGGGAGGCGTAGCAACACCTCTGATTGGTGGGAGAGCGGTCTGGGGCGGGGCCTAGAGGCCGGAGCGGCGAGGGCGGGGGCCCCGCGGTCCCCCGCGTTGCTGGGAGTGGGTGCGCGCGGCCGGCTGTGATCGGCGCCCGCCCGAACTGGCGCCAGCGCCGCAAGGCTTCGGCGCGCACCTGCCGCCTTCCGCGCGGCTACCCGGCTGTGCCTTGCCTTGCCCGCCAGGTCCTCTCTGGTGCACCGAGATGCCAGTGCGCCCGACTAAGGCGGTTTGCACCCGGAGACACCACGCACCCCCCGCCGTGCAGTCCCCTCCGACCCGGCCACTGCCCTACTACTCCCTTGGCTTTTACCTGGAACTTATCTCCGGAATGTCCTTTTCTGTCTTTGCCCACCGCAGCGGTCCTGGATTTTTTTTTACCAACTAGTGTCCACTCTGTGACAGTGACTGGAAATCTGCTACAGCCCCTTAAGAATCGGTTGTTTTCCCGGGAAGCGTTCCGGGCTTACTTGGCGCCTACCACGTGTCAGGTGCACTGAGCTTCCTTCCCAAGAGTTGGTGGGACTCCACCAATCTCCCCATGGCATCTCTACTTGCCCTTTTACCCTCCTGGACCTCCACCTGGGTTTCAGTCTCCCGCACCTCCTAGCTGCTTGTGCATTCTCTCTGTGGGCATCACCGGCTCTGGGTTAGTTTCTACGCTCGGCCTCTCATACTGTCCTTCTCCAGCCGGACCGCCCTGTTGTCCCTGAGTCTGCTCGTTTTATAATCAGCCTGCGGCCTGCCACAGGCCAGGCAGGGTCCTAATGCTAAGCACGACAAAGAACAGAAAAGCCAAAATCCCTGGCTTCCTAGAGCATCCTTGTTGGGAGTCACATATGATAAATCCTGTGTTATATGGAGAAGTGGCTCTGTATGCATATAGGGATAGCAGGGTGGAGCTCAGGGTTTAAGGATGAAGGTAGTAAGGTGTGGGGGCCTCCAAGGTACTTGAAGAATGACTGGTACAGCCTTGGATTGGGACAAAGGGAAAAACAGTGGGGTCCCAAGAAAACTAGAAAAGCGGTGTGACCAGACAGTGACTGGGCAGAGGAGCAAACCTCAGAGCCCTGACAGTTTCTGTAAGGTCTGAAATAGGGAAGCATTGGAGGGTTTGGGGTAGAGCATCGACAGACCACACTCAGTGTTTAGAATCTGGTGGCTGAATGGTAGGGAACCAGGTAGGTGAACGCAAAAATACAAACAAAAGATAAAACAGTAGCCAGCAGCATGGCCTAGGGTGGTGGAGTGAGGCTAGGGGAGGTGTTTGAATTCTAGATTCATTTGTGATGGTAGAATAGGATTTCCTAAAAACTGGAGAGCTGGAGTTAAAGAGCAGCAAATAGGTGGTATGCCTGAATCCCAGCACCCAGGATGTGGAGGTAGGAAGATCTCCGGTTCCAAGCCAACCTAAGTGAAACCCCTGATTACCAAAACAAAGAAAGGAGGAGGAGTTAAGAGTGACCAGAGGTTTTCAGCTGAGCAGCTGGAAGGAATGACCTTTTTTCCCCTGAGATAGGAAGGGCAGCAGGCATAGAGGTTTAGGGAAGAGTCCTGTTTAAGATGTGCCAAGTTCAAGGTTTATTTTTCCATCAGAGTAAATGTGTTACACAGATGGATACCAGACTGGCTTACAGGAGAGAAGTCTGGACCCAAACGACCTCTGAGCATGGTCAGCATGAAGATGGAACCCAAAACCTTGAGATGGGCTGACCCTCCAAGGCAGGGAGGAGGAAACAGGATGTGAAGGACCTGGGTCCTGGAGTCTCCACCAGCGAAAGCTAGGTGGGAGAAGAGCCAGTGGAGGAGACAGAGTGGGCAGACACTTGAGCAGGGAGGAAAATGAAAGCATGGAGCCAGAGGAAGATGCTGAACCAAGGGGAAAGGAGTGGGTGGCTGTCACCACTGAAGACTGAGCACCTGAGGTCATCCATACCTCTGCCTAGTGCTGGCTGCCCCTCAACTCTTCATCCCTGCCCTCTAGTTCTCTAGGCACTGGCACCTCAGTTAGTAACAGTAGATCTGCCTCTCACAGCTTTCCAACCTTTGAACGGAGGTCTTCATGCTTTTGTGACAGGCACTTTACTAACTGAGCCATCTACTCAGTCCCTAAGTAAATTTTATTTTATTTGTAGACCAGGTTAGCCTCGATCTCATAGAGATCTGCCAATCTCTGCCATCTGAGTGCTGGGCGCTGGGATTAAAGCCATGCACCACCATGCCCAGTATAAATGTGGTTTTTTTTGTTTGTTTGTTTGGGTTTTTTTTTTGTCTTTTTGAGACAGGGTCTCCCTGTAGCCCCAACTGGCCTGGAACTTGCTATGTAGACCAGGCTTGCCTTGAACTCTCAGAGATCTGATTGCCTCTGCCTCCTATGTGCTGGGATTAAAGGCGTGTGCCACCATGCCCGGTGTAAATGCTATTTTTTCTAAACTTTTTAAAAAATAAAATTTTTTAAAATTTTATGTGTATATGTGTATTGCCCACATGTAGGTAAGTGCACCCGAGTCATGCAATGCCCTCGGAGGTCAGAAGAGGCTGTCGGATCCCCTGGGACTGGAGTTATGGACAGTTGTTAGCTGCCATGTGGGTGCTGGGATTCGAACCCGGGTCTTCTGCAAAAACAACCAGTGTTCTTAACCACTGAGCCATCTCTCCAGACCCATAAATGCTATTTTTAAGGCAAGATAATTTAAGAAAAATATTAAGAACAGAACACATAATGAACAGAACATGGTGCAAATCTGAGTGAAGGAAGTGACAAATGTGGGGAGCAATGTCTTTACCTGGCCTTTGCTCTTCTCTGTCCCCATACTGTGGCCAGAGTGGCCTTCATAAAACATAATCCCATGTCACTCTAGTACATGCCCAGTAAAGCCCAAGCACCTTAGTGGTCTCCATGCACAGCTCAGCTGCCCTTCCCAAGCCAGCTGCTCCCCTGGACCTTGGCAGACTCCACTTCATTCAGACTCAGGAGCACTTCCATTCTTCCAGCTGGTTTCCCTGACCCTAGGCCCAGTGAGCCATCCTGTGTGACCCACAGTGCCTCCAGCATGGTCCCAGCACATTTACCATGACCTGTTTGCCATGTGCAATTTCTCACGTGAGTGTTCCCAGAGAAGGCAAGCAAGCATTGATCCACTGTCATTGCTTGGACCCCAATAACAACATGTACATGGAAAGGTCCAGGAAATGGTTAGTAAATGGCACAGTTCTTTGTAGGTACCCAGGGTCCCACATTATGATTCCTTCTGGGCCACCTCTGGGATAGAGGATGAGAAGCCTTGGTCCATTGGAACCAGTGCCTAACACATGGTGGTTGCCGAATAAACAGGGAACAATGAAGAGATGTCAAGCTGTAAAACCAGAGGTAGAGCAGGAAGGGCCCCTGGTATTAAAGTATAGATGTAGTAATAAAAAATATTGGGTCTTAGCTAGGTGTGGTGGTACATGTCTGCAATCCCAGCATTCCAGTATAAAGGCAAGAGGGTCAGTTCAATGTCATCCTCAGCTACATAATGAGTTTGAGGCCAGCCTGGCCTACTTATATACCTTCCATCAAAACAAAAAAACCAAAAGAAACAAAAAACTTTTAAAACTTAGGTCTTAGTTGTAAACTTTAGTATATGATTTTTCGTTTATTCCCAATAATCTTTAAAGTTCAAAGCCATGCCATATCTGTAAGCTGTTAGCAATATTTTTTATTTTAAAATATTTTACATTTATTAAGCTGGGCATGGTGGCACACGCCGTGTGTGTGTGTGTGTGTGTGTGTGTGTGTGTGTGTGTGTACAATATGTATGTGTGGGTTCTCATGCCATGAACAACTTGCAGCTTGCAGGAGTTGGTTTTCTCCTTCCATCATGTGGGTTCCAGGGACTGAACTCAAGTCTTCAGGTTTGGTGGCAAGTGCCCTTATTCACCGAACCATCTCAAAGGCCCTATTTATGCTTTTCAGTTTTTTATTATAAAAAAAATGCATGGTCATAGTTTAAGAGAAAGACACAAAGAAGAAATGAATAAGGAAAGGAATATGGAAAGGAAGAAAGGCAGTTATTTAAGCAACACAGAAGAGATAGAGAGCAAATCCACCAGCCTGTGTCCCTGTTTCCTGAGGTAACTAGCCACTATTAATTGTTTTTCTATGTCTCCAGATGTTTCCTATGTACATGTGAGAACATAAATTCCTTACACAAAGAGGGTTCATCCTATGCACTAATTTTTCACTTATGTTTTATATGATTTCCATGTCAGCATGCTGAAATCTGTATTTTAAAAAGGCTCTATATTATTTCAGTACTAGGCTCTTGTCAACCATTGGTATTGTCAGTTTGCTTGCTAGTCTAGTAGGTAAAAAATAGACTTACTGTTTTGAGTTGTATTGTTTAGTTATGAATGGGGTTCATCCTTTTTTCTTGGTGACAACCTTTTTAAACTAAAAATTGAAGTAGTATTGTTTCTGCTTTGTTTTATCTTCCTGGGGCAGAATCTCATTATGTGGCTGAGACTAGCCTTAAATTCCTGGGTTTAAGCGATCCTTCTGCCTCACCCTTCTGACTGACTGAACCCAGCCATGGAGCAATGCATCCAGCTGCTGTAGCTTTTTTGTTTGTTGCTGTTATTTGCTTTGTGTGTGGTGGTTGTCAGTTTTTTGAGACAGAATCTCACTATGTACCCCCTGTTAGTCTCAAACTCATAATCCTCTGTCTTAGGCTCCCAAGAAACACATACCATGCCCCAGATAACAGTAGTGCTTTAAAGAAGAGTAGGGAACTCATCTTGGAACCTTCTCCTAGTAGAGATTTCATGGTAGCAATGACTTGCAGAAGCAACAGGTCAAGGGAGATTGCAGATTGAGAG